GTGTGATCTGTTTCTCTGGAGGAGTATCCTTGTTGAGTGAAAGCCATTTTAAGATTTATGAGGTGGCAATCAAGGAGATGGATTTACAAAACACTTTTCACAGACGAGCCTATGAACTTCACTTCATCAACTTCCTGAATACAACAAATCATGGACTAAATATAGACATTGGATTTATGACACATTATAACCTGCTTGACATCTGACTCCCCAGGAACCTCTCCACTATTTGCCTGCTACATTCACTCCCCTTCCACCCCCTTCCCCTCCCCCAGCCTGTCTCTCACCCACTGACTCCTTAATTTACATCTTCATTGGCTTTCTTGCATGCAAAGAAGCCTCTGGCTTCTTTACTATTCATTACATGCAGGAAGAGCACACACCAACTGCAGATGCTTCCTCAGCCTGACAAAGGGTTTTTAAACCCAAAAGCTTGCTAAGAAATTTTTTTCCCAACTATTAATTGATCTAATAAAAGTTATCAGATTTACCCCAAGAACCTTGTCTGCCTATGTCCTTAGACCAACCTGCCTACAGCCTACACCCCTGTGACATGGAAACTCCTGTATAAGCTCTTCTGCAATTCAAATATTTTCTGGAAGACACCCAAGCTACTTCTGAGTCAGAGGTCCACATCTGTAGGCAGAAACAAACCACATCTAATTCCCATAAAAAAACCCACTGAATTCAGCTAGACAGTGGTGATGATGCCCATCTTTTGCCCAAGAGCATAGTTAAATAACTCACCCAGAAAATATAAAACCCAGATTCTAGGCCCAGCTTAATCTTAGGGGGTTCAAATCCAAATCATCCATTTACCAGGGCAGTACTCTAGCTACCAGGCTATAGAAAAGGCTAGATTATAGGATCATAGGAAAGTAGGGCTGGAATGGACGTCATTAAGTCATCTAGCTCAGCCCCCTACTGAAGGCAGGACCATCCTTTACTAAACAAACCAAGCCAAGTGTCCATCTGACCTGCTCTTGAAAATGTACAAGGATGGAGATTCCATAGTTTCCTTAGGTAGCCTGGGAATGCTATGCTGGACCACCCTCATAGTCAGAAAGTTCTTCCTAATCTCTACCCTAAATTTCCCTTGCTGCATCTTGAGGCCAGTGCACCTAGTTCTGTTCCCTATAGCCATAGAGAAAAGCCCATCTCCATCCACGGTAACTGCCTTTCAGGTATGTACATTATATTCATGTCTGTGAGATTCTATTCCCACCAGGAAGCTATGCAGCTAGAGAAGCTATGCAGCTCACTTGGGAAGAACTGGGTGACTGTAACTATGCCAAATCCTGAACTGTGTGTAAGTGCAATTCAGGCACATAAAGGAGAAATAGGATCAGGTTGCAGGTTACAGAGATAGGTTCCCTCTGGATTGTTTTCATTCTGACCACAGCTGTCTTTTATTCTTGGCTACTCATTTAGAGTACCTGCCCAGGAAGCAGGAGACCAAGTTTCAACAGGAAAGTGGTCTCACCTGAACTATATTATAGCTTGCTAATTAGGTTATTTTCCTAGTATGCAGGAGATACAGGTTGAAATACCCTCAGGGTATGCCTAAAACCTATATGTCCCACTTCCTGGGTGAGTGCTCTGGCCAGCTGACTAGGAACAGGATGGAAGTGGTATCAGAAATCCTTATGAGGCTATCCTCAGAATGAAACTATGTATTGTGAATAAAAAATGAATGGAGAAGCCCTAATGGCATGAGTTAGGCATCTCAGCTCCTGAGAGGGATGGAAATCCAGACATGTCCCTCTGCTTAGCATTTCCTTTTGGGGCCTCAGGGCTTTATGATTCACCTTTTGAAGGTGCTGTTCTGTGTATAAAATCAAAGCACCTCTGAATGAATCATTCCTTAGTGCCTCTGAAGTCTCTTCACTGACTGTATAAGCAACTCTGGAGCCTATCCAGTCAAACTTAATTGCTCTCTTGTGCAAGGAATCCTAACACTCAGGCAATGTAAAAATCTAAGAAACCAATTTGAATTTATCTCAAATTATACAGTTTCAAAATATTTACAAAGACATTATATGAGTGGTTTGCAAATAAATTAATAATTATTAATCAAGTGGGTCCCCAGTAAAGTACACAATAGTAAAAATAGACATGAGAATATGCAAACTGTATACATTTTGAATATTTCACCTTCCCTTTGCCCCAAGTCTATTACTCATATTTTTTCTTGGGTTTCTCCTGCATCCTCCTGGTTGTGCTGCACCTAAAAAATAGATTCCTAATTCTGTTTGCACTTTCTTGGTACTGCAGTAATGGTAAACAATACTAATATTCCACTTATTTAGGCTTTAATTGCAATGTTTTTAGTTTGGAAAAGATAATAAAGGAAATGTTAAACTGCACCCAATGTACAACTGTAAAGCAAAAGAGTTACTATATAGGCTCACCAGGGCAGAGAGCAATATTGCAAGGTTTATGCTGTGTTTCAGGTCCATCACAGGATCTTCCCCCATACTGGGGAGGTATACATGACCTTGTTCTAGTTCTTTGGCCTCGACCACATGTGAATGAACACAAACTCCAAGGTGACCATTCCTCCCAAACTCCGTGTACTGTAACAAAGCAAACAGATTTCAACAAATAATGGACATATATGGGCAAGAGGATTCAGAATAAGAACAATGTTGTAAATGGGAATGGTTTTGCCATCACCAAAAAAAATAAATACATATTTTGAATTCTGCAGCACTAGCAAATGTAAATCAGTTTTGAACTTCCAGTTGAAAACAGTATTTTGTTCCATATTACCATTATTGAACGTTGACAATTTTCTTTGAGGAGTTAGTCTAATCTCAGTGGTTCTTTTTGATTTCTTTCTGTTCTTTAAGTTCTGTGACATGCATTTGCAAAAATGACTAATGACTTCAGATGTCCAGCTTGAAAAATCTTACAGGGGCCCTATTTTCAGTAGACAAATGCTCCGTGCTAAAAAAATCAGGCCCATTTTGGGTAATCAAAGTCAAGATTCAGATTAAAGGTACCATGGTGGGATATGTCCCTAATGGTTTCCTTAAGGGTTTTTTTGTTTGATTTTTTTTATTTGCTTCTATGAGAATCTTCAATGAATTTTCATAGTAAATAATGCATTCATCTCTATATTTTAAATCAAAATGTGCATTATAATATTTCAATTACTTTTTTGTAGCTACAATAAATAATGGACACATACAACAAATATTTATATTTAAAAATTAGCCCCTTAAATTAATTTAAAGAATCTGTGATAAGCATTATTTTATATTCTTTTATCTTTTCAGTATAGGAGAAACTGGGAAGTATTTTCCCTCTTAGTTTGCCAGCTAATACATTGTACTTCTTTTTTAAATAGAATCTGAATCAAATTTGCAGAAGACATTATATAGACAGCATATTATAATTAACAGAATTCTGTTAAAACTTAATTTAATGAAAACAGTCTCTCTATATAAAGTAAATTCTTCCAGAGAAAACTCTTGTCCTTTTTATTTTCCTTAATCTGAGAGTAATTCCATTAAACTGGATCAGGTTGCTACACACAAGGGTACATGCTGGTGATGACAGACATTTAAGACTCAACCCAAGAACCTAAAGTCCTTAGAGGGCAGCCAGGTGCCCTCTAGGAGTTTCTCTTCAGGGCTCATCTCTAAAATGTCTGGAAAAACTAAATAATATGCCATGGCCTCAACATGTTCCTGGCATAGAGATGAGCATCAGTGTATCATGTATTGCCAGACTTTTCTGGCTCCAGTCTTACTCTCTCCTCAGCATTGGCTTCTGATTTACCCATGGAACTAGCTTAGTTATCACCAGAGATGCCACATCTCTATTGAGTTCCTGCAAACTAAGAATTCTCCTCTTGTGCAGCAGAACCACACAATTTCTACTACCAGGTGATTCTCACTAAACATGAAATTTGTCCTGGGGGCATAATCATGGTATCATGAAATCATATGTTCCATTAGAAATACAGAGTTGTTTTTTTAAAAGCTACGTTGAGATGGAAAGTTTTGCATAACTTCAGAGAATCACTTCTTGACAAGAAATGTCACTGTATGTTTGCAGGTTGTAAGAGAACCTGGTATGTAAGAGAATATGTTACATTTTTTTGTCAACACGACGAATTCTCTGTTGCTGACAGGTTATTTAGTTGGTCAGATACAAGAGTTCTAGAAATATCATGATTACTCCATACTCTTATTTGAAATTTCTAACTTTATTTTCTCACTTTCTAAATATTACATCAATCAGTATTACATTAGCAGAGAAACAGGAGCATTCTAAATGAATGTTAAAGTGACAGGTTTTAGACTAGTAATCTTGCAAACCTTGACTGGCCTTGACAACTTGGTTAAATGATGAAACCTAAAGCTTCTAAAAACTAACAACTTGATGGATATATGTTTTGTTAAGCTTTTATGGTTTCAACTATTCTCAACAGATATTTGTTTCATATGGAGATGCTTCATAAAGCTTTTAAAGTTTTTTCAATTGCAATGTGTTACATTTTCAATCTATCCCGGATTTTAAGTCTCAAAATTCTTTTGATCAGATGAAAAGGATTTAATGAGGAAGAAATTTGTCAGTTTAGCTTCTGGAGGGCAATTAACAACAACAACTAGGGGATAATTCATTTACTGAAAATATAGTGGTTGATCAAGAGGCTCAGGTTGAAACAAGGATCATTTTAAAGGAGTACAAAATATACAGAATCAATCCTTTCAGGCCAACTAAAAATGTATGTTAACATTTCACCGAATTACTAAAAGTATTAAGTGGGAACACTCTTTGTCTTAGCAGAAATGGGCTAACAGAATGTTGTTCAATTTTTAATACAAATTAAGCTAAAGTTAAGTTTTAAGCTTGAGTTCAGGTCAAACTATAAGATGTTCTCATAAAACTGTCCTCATAAAACTTCACTTAAGATGACCCAACTCTTATGAGATCAGCTGTTCTTTAAAGGTATTGCATGAGTACCTGGAGACAAAACGACTTTTTGCACAAGTTTTTCACTGCATCCAATCCATAACCAATATAAAATGTTTCTTTATGGTTTGGAATCTAACCAAGAACCAGTTTGGATCTGGGGATTCAACAATCTCTCTCTGTTAGTTTAAAGGAGTTGTGTGTCCCATGACAAGCTTTCTGAGGCAAAATTGCAACCTGTACGGTCTTTCCTCAGTGGGTATCGAAGTAACCATGTTACAGTGTCCCTTCCTGTTTGGAGATGCCATATGCAAATTTAGATAAAAGGTAATTAAGTGCAGTTAAAGATAGAAAAGATATATATTAATACTATAACCAATGTTATATCAGTAACCAAGCAGGAGTCATCCCTACTGTGCATCTTCTCTAGCATTGTCCAGATCAGATTTAAGTGGCCCCCAAAATGGTGTTTCCAGGGTCTAATAAGTCTTATTCAAGAATATATTTTGTGATTTTTCATTTAGATTTCCTTTGCATCGTATCATTTCATATATGTTAAAAAAAGGCAAAATGCTCTGAAGAATTATGAGACAGGTGAACTGTGCCAATATATACCAAATGGAGGACTGGCCTGTGGTGGAATTATTGTTTTCAATAGAGCAGTTTCAGCTGCAGATTTATTAGTTGGGATCAAAATGTTCAAGAACTGCAAATGCATCTGTCAAAAACCTTATTAGTAAAACTAGGTAAAGTAGGTCACTGCAGAGCAGGTTTTCTCCAGTCCTGGCACTTCCTGTCTCTAACTATGTTGAAGTATAAGGTCATACTCTTCACAATACTTAGTTAATATGAGGTTGACGGTGAGGTGTAGGATCACTGTAGTTCTTCTCCATCTAGCAGATCTGGGGAGATTTTATCAGGATCTAAACACATTCATTTTCTTTGTGAAAAAATAAAGATAAAGACAAGAGGAGAACCAAACATAGACAAGTAGAAACCTGATAGAGTATTCAGTAGAATTCAGTGGAATTACTACTAAGGACCTTCATTTTGTTACTCACGATCTAATAAATTAAGTAAACCTGCAGTATTTCAAGAATGAGCCCTGACAGCTCATTTGCAACAAAGAAGTTAGCTAACAAGAGTGATTAGCTAAGCGGTACATTGTTGTCTGCAATTTAGGACCAACTTTACGATTATAGCTGCAACAAAATCCAATAAACTGGGTGAAATGCGCACTGTTATTCTTCCCTCCACATATCATTAAAGCAAGAAAAAATTAAACAATAGTGATTTCTTAAATTTAGTTTCAATATGGGGAGTAAGAGTTTGAAACTGAATGTGGTGTGTCATCACTAAAAATAAATATGAATGACATCCAACACAGAAAAAAAATCAGAAGTGATTTTCCAGGTAGCTTTGCTAACTCATTCAACACCTGTATGAGGATATTTGTGGCCCAGTTAATTATTTAGCGATAAAGCTAGTGTGTACCATTCTCAAAGCATATCCAAATAGAATATAACAGCTGTGATACTTTACTGATTTCAGGGAAAGGGGCTTGGAAAAACAGGAGAAATATAAATAGTAAGTGATAACATACTCTTATAATTAACAATCCTTTCTGCTCTATGATTTTGATACTAAGTGCTAGAGATCCTGATCCTTGAAGCTTGTAGATAGGTTTTTGAGGCACATCCCATGATCCTCACTAGGTATTAGTTCTTGGGGATAACATTTTGTTTGAGGATGCATTGTTACAATTTTTGAACTGGCTTGCTATCTTCCAGATGACACTGTATGCTTTGAATATTCCCCAGGAGGTAGGATTCTCCTGGATTTTAAGGTAAGAAGAGACCTGAGTGATATTTTTATGTTTGTATGGTGATTAAAGTGAATGTGAGGCATGGGAGCTTCTAGTTTGCTATCCAGAGAGTATTTATGGAGATATAAAAGCTTGCTGTAATTATGGTGTTCAGTCTACTTGAAATAGATGGAATGGTAGAAATGAATGGAATATGCACCAGCATATATATGAAGGGTTGTTGTTTTTAGCTGGACAACAAACAATTTATTTTGCTTTAAACCAGGGGCAATCCAGATTCATGGAGCTCTTGGGCTGAGACAGAGATAATAATAAACAAGGATTGTATATGGAAATATGAGAATCCAGAGAGCTATTGCTAAGAAACATAAATGTTTAAGACTCCAGTCTTGCTAACTGCAATGCACCCTAATCCTTATAGATATTCAGCACCACCCAATTTCTTCTCTGCTGTTCCCCATTTACGATAAGTCTTATACCAGGGCAATGGAAACCAGAAGATCATGAGTATGACTGTGAGTGGTCTGGAACTACAGTGAAGGTATGTGCGCATGAACCTTTGCCCCAAGTTGTACTTCAAGGAGTTAGTGACTGCATCCCAACGAGCATGCATGTGCTGGGGCATGAGTTTCCTGTGGGACAAATAGCATTTGCATATATTTGTGCTGCTGCTATTTTCCCCCAGGTGTGCCCCTGCATATGCTCTCCAATGCATGGTAAAGTGACCTGAGTGAGGTAGGCGAGGCTGGGGCCGGCACAGGTTCCAAGCCCTACCTGGGCTTCTGGGAGCCTTCTGGGGCAGCAGTGGTTCCACATTGGCCACTTGGAGCCTGGCTGAAGTCAGAGTGTGGCTCTGGCTGGCCAGACTCCCTTTCTGGTGGCTCACGCTGCTGCCACATGCTCCACAACTCTTTTTTTAGTGGTGGGTTTTTTGGATGCTGAGACTTCCTGGTGTCAAAAACTCCCACCATGCTGCTAATTAGCATCATGGTGAACAGGTGCACGTGCACTACCTGCAATTTGTGGTGCCTCAACCTGTTTTGAGGCCCTGCAAACCACATGTGCATGCTCACTGGGACATGCCTAGTGGGGCTAAAGGACTGGGGTGTAATTGTGTCTATTGGTTAGCAGGGATGGCCCTAAATTACAATTATTTATGTGAAGTAACTCAGTGCATTTATAGTCTCAAGAAGATGTCAGCTGTGGTGGTAGTGAAAGTGACTTTGTTCATTGTGTCACAGGATAGTCAGTCAGAAATGAAAGCCTTTGCCCACTGTGAGTGTCCAAATAATGAAATATACCCAGAGGCTGAAGAGCTTCAGGAAGAGCCCTTGTATCTTTAAGGAAATGTATTGTAAGAAATAGAGGATCATTTTTGTGTGCCTGCTTTTACAGCTTATTGAAGAACATGAGTTTAAAGAATAAATCAAATATTTGGATGATACATCTATTTGACTTTTGAATCGCATGATAATAAATAGTGAGTTTTTTGCTTTGACCTATGAATGAGAAGTTTATAACGCTTTAGCAGCAATATTAGACATAAATTTATCCTATAAAATAAACGGAATTTAACAGATGCAAGGCACTTAGTGGTTCTTAGATAGCACTGAAAATATAGTGGAAACAGGCAGAAAATGTGCCTCTTAGTGTACTATGAGATTTGATGACTCACGCAGTTCCTAAAGGAACTATACTGAAGTGTTCTTTTTTTTTTTTGTTTGCAAATTTTCTTTTGTATTTGGCTAACTTTTAAATCAAGAGAAACCTCCATTATTCTTTGAGCTATTCTAGCCTCTTTTGGAAATAATAGGGATTCTTGTGTGGACATATTTAAAATGATCAATTCCATGCTTGCTTGGGCTTTTACACCAGACAGTATTAATAAATCCTATATTAATTGCTTATGTAAAGCAAAACATAAAGCCATCAGATATTGACACTATTTCTCATTAAAGCAGTCACTTACCTCAATTTAATATTTTATATTTTACAGTATCTTTCATCCCATAAATTCCCCAAATGCTTATGAAATTGATATACAACCTACAGTGATCATCAACATTGAAATGATCTCACCACTCGACAATTCTTTAACACAAGCAATAGATTAGGAGGTGGGTTCTGCAATTCGTTACTAATATCAGTCAGGCACCAAGGACCTTCTGCATAAAGACATCTTCCCCTCCATCTCCCTAGAACCATCAGAAGGTTCACTGTGGTTATGGGGTCATGTTCTTCAGGAATTTTAGGGAATGGTTACTCCTTTCACTGCAGAAATTTAATTGTAAAACAACAGTCAAATTCATTCTCCTCTTTCCCCCCCATATGATAAGTCATATCCCGAGGACATGGAAACGAGTAGGTGATGAGTATGACTGAGAGCTTGGGAACTACAGTGGGGGCATAGGACTTCACACATGAATCTTTACCTCAGGTTTCACTTCAGGGAGTCAGTGTTGCCCACCAGAAAAAGGAAACACAACAAAGGGGATTACTGCATGAGTATGTCCTGGCCATATTAAGCAGCTAAATAATTTCATTGCTTGACAGTAAGTTAACTTAGACCCCTTTGCTGATCAGTTAAGTGTTTGCATCTTCTTAATTTGTTGGTGATAAATATTTCTTCCCTTAAAAATGCCATTTGTTGCCTGTTTTTTTTCCAATCAAGAGGACTGAGACATTGGATCTGAAACTGACAGAAAATGTACCTGTATTCAGTTTGTTGACTGCTCTGAAAGTGGAAATAATCATCTATATAATAACATTTCACAGCTGAATAAGTATTGCATTAATCCATTCTACTTAATGTGCTACTATTCAATTAAAGTTCCAAAAATATTTTCAAAATTTTAGCATTATACAATTCAAAAACATCCACAATTTTATTTATTGGCTGCTAACACTACCTGGACAGAGGGCAGTGTTATTGCAAACCCTTGATTCTCTTAAAGGGCCGCTGCAGTGTGTCCCGTAAGGTGATACACAAGTTCTGGTTCGCACCTGCGACCCTTGACCACAAGTAACTGAACACGTACTCCACTGGGCCCATTCTTCAACACCAGATTCACCTGCATTCAAGACAACAAACAAACATGAATATAGCCATAAGTATTAGTACAAATTTTATGTCTGAAATTGTTATGGTAAGCATAGAGTTGTGTATAATTTAAAGACAAACATACTAAAGTAAATACTTAAAATTTCAAGGAAAGAAAGCACCTATGAAAACGTGCAGTGAATAGAAAATAAATACACTCAAAAGCTGAAGGCACACAACACCTGCCAGATTAAAACTATTTAATCACTTAGCATCACTTCTGGCTTTATAACAGTTACTGTCCTTTAACATTTCAGAAATAATGTTGTCTTCAGGACACTAAAACAATACAGAAAAGTCATTTTTTACATAGAAAAGAATTCATTTTTGTTGTTTATGCTGATCTCTCCACCGTGCAAACTAGGTGATAGTGTAAGGTAACATGACAACGGAGAATTTTTTTTTTTAATAAGCCTTATTCTTTTGTTGGGGAACAGACAGAAAAGGGAGGGCATAGGACAGAGATTGGGAAGGGTACATAGCATATGCAAGAAACTTCCTAAAGAGGAACATTTTGCAGCAAGTACACAAATATTAATGTGAATAGTGGGATAAGAAATATGATTTGATATTGCATTTTGGGATTGTATTACCAGCCTTTGAGCTAAGATGCCCTAGGGTATTTGTTGTTCTTAGCACTGTTATTGTTTACCACCATTACCCCTATTTTCAATGGACTCATTTGATAGGTACAACTCAGTAGAGCTGAATAAATAATTCATAATTACTACTTTGTTCAACAATTTTTTCAGCTATTTCTGCTCACAGGATATTCACATGCAGATTGTAGTATCCTCAAATTCATTAGTTCAAAATAGCTAACAACATTTTTCCCATGGATTTTCTATGGATCTACAAAAGTAAGTGAACTCCCAGTTCTACTCATAATGTCCACTACCATGATCACATTGAAATAGATTAAGTTATTCAGCATACTGTAATATTCAGTGAGAGCACATGTGCAAAACTAGCCCCATTTGGGCTATTTTTAACTTTGTTTGGTATTGGTGAGATGTATCACATGATATAACTTCTATTCCCTAATCTTATGATCCCTACTCAGGCAAGGGTATTTAAAATTCAGTTAACTTGCATACTCCTACATGTAATTCTGAAATTCTGAAAGGCATTCATACAATGAAAACTTGATCACTCCTGTGCTGACAAAGAAGTAAACAGAAAGTGTGCAAAGATGGCTGACAAATTGTTGGTTGTAGACATGTTGGTCTAAGGACATACTCAGGCAAGGTTCTTTGGGTAGATGTTATATCTTTTATTACACCAACTAAATAGTTGGAAAAAAAGTTCTTTGCAAGCTTTCAGGCACAAACAGCCTTCTTCAGGCATTGGGAAACTCTGCTGTTGTTATGAGTTCTCCAAGGTAGAAAAGAAGCTAAAGTAAACAAGAAGTCTGTGAAGATGCAAAAGATGGATGAAGGAATTTAATTGAATAATCTTAAAAAACATGTGTGGAAAGGTATTCACCTAACTCCATTACGTAATTATAAAATGTGATACTGTTGGCCATATCATGCTGCTTTTAAATATGAGGGAACTTAGTTCCAAAATCAATGGTAATGTATGACCTTGTAGCTAGATTGCATGCATCACTATACCTCTATCTATTCTTCTAAGATTTTGACCACAGAAGTGAGTAATTATGGAAAATGTTCCAGTCAGAAAGATTCAGGTAGTATCCTCCAAGAATACATAAAGTCTTACATTGTGATTTTCCAGAAATAATTCTTATGGACCAAGGCATCTGGCCCGCCCTTCATTTTCTTGATAAACCAAGCACATCACCTTTTCAACATGCTGGTCTCCACTAGGTCATTTAGTAGGAGTCCTTAGGCTATTCAAAACCTCACCAGATCCCTGCACAGAAACATCTGCTGCCTATTCAAGAAACAAGAAAGTCTACCTTATGAATAGAACGTACAAGTCCTTTACCTTTTTATTAAATTGTGTAATGGTTCCAATAATATTTATGAACAACAAAATGGTTGAGATTCTCTGTGTGTAGAAGTTCACAAAATGTGACTCTTAAAAGCTTTTCACTCATTTTTAAGAGCTTTAAGGAGTAAATTAAGCATGTTTATTGCTTTATTAACCTCACTGGTGTGGCATTTTGATTAGGCTGTTTCATGATTTGGGCTGAAAAAATTAAATGAAGTACCATATAAGCAACCAGTAATTGTAGTATTTTAATATAACATATACGATAGACCCTAGGAAGAATGTAGTAAAATAATGTATTTTCTATTTGAGGAAAATCCTTCATATTATTTTTTTCTTCTTCTTCCAGTTTTGACACTTGACTTTGCCTTTGTTAAAGTAGTTTAAATGAAAGGTCAAACAGCACAAAAAGTCAAAGCCATGCTTCTCAATTTGTTCCTCATTATGTAAAACAGTCCTATATACTGAATGTAAATTATCCATTATCCTGCACAGAACTGGTAACAGTACACTGCTATTAAAATACAGAAATTAAGTATTAAAAATTAAAAATGTTGGAAATCTTAAACTGGAGAAAAGTTGTTCTTAACCTTTGTAATATGATGAACCAGAGTAGCATCACAGTACTGAGAAATGTTATATCAAGTGAATCGTAATTAATTAGTTGAAAAATGTATATATTTTACAACCGGTTATCAGGGCCCCAATCCAGTAGGATACTTAAGCATGTGCTTAAATTTAAGCAAATGGGAAGTTTCCACAAAGGTCAGGAGAAAATAAGCACATGCTTAGTTCATAATTGGATTAAGACCTTACAAAGTACCACAATGCTTTCTTTAAAAGGAATAGGACTATTTCATGAGACTGGGCCAGTATCCTGTCATGCAACGTGTATCCTGGGAGTATGCAAGAACCTTACAGAAGCTACATGAGAAGAAGGAATAGGAAAGCATATGAAAGGAAAGGGGCACAGGAATAAAAATAAAAATAAATGAAGAACAGCTCAACATTGTAAACAACAGTATTTAGGTTGTTTAAGAGGTTACAGTATGGTTGTAGTGAAATAAAGTATTATGTTTTTATTGTTGTTAACACAGCAACATAGATGTACACAACAGCATAACAAACAAAATGGGCTAACTAGCCAAATAAGTTTTAAGAAACACTGAACTATTGAAATCAAGGAACAGATGTCTCACAAAATATTCCCATTTCTTTTGCACATTATGTTACTTTTATCATTTCACTGCGGCTTGTCCACAGAATTGATTAATGTTATTGGGTTTTTTTCAAAGGGGAAAATGGTATAAAGACATGCTACAATAGGCAGCCAACTTATTTTCTTTATTAGTAAATATAGCCTATTTTATTCTATATAGTCTAGATTAAATTTAGATAGCATAAACCCAAACCATACTTTTTGTTTTTCTCTTCACTTCATACTTCACTTTCATACTTCACTTTCCCTTCAGTTCTTTATTCTAAACCTACCATGGCTAAACCGGTGATCTCAAACTGAGAGGCAAAATATTAATGACCTCTCATTCTCCACAGTTGCTAGACATGGAGGAGGAAATAAAGCTTACTGTCTGGGAAGTTTCATTGATCTATAAAACACTTACCTGTATTTATATTTTCTAAGTCCCATAACACCTAAGGAAAGGATAATTTCAGGAACAAAAAATAACAAATATTGGATAATTATATCATTAACAAAATATTTGTTTGAATGTTTTAAATATGGAGCGTTGCCTAGTATCATTCACAGACACATTTTTACCAATGCATGTTGTGCCTCATTTAAATTCCAGTGAAGTCAGTTGGAATTTTTCCACTGAGTCAATGGCTATTGGATTGGTTCCACTTTTTTTAAAGTCTGTTTTTCATAACTCTTTTCTAGACCTCTACTCTTTTCCTACACATTATTTTAAATTTCTACCATCTCTTTGTCCTTACTTTGCAGACCAAGGTAGGTGTATAGTTTTACTACACATTTTTATTTAATCTTTATTTCATTTAAGAAAATAAACACACTAAAATACATAAACTGATATAAACTCAAAGAAACCTAAATTATTTCTGCTTTCAAAACTTCAGGTATAAAGACTCTCATCTTCCTTAGCATATGGGTAAAAACATGAATAATGTTAGAAAATCCTTATGGTTTTGTTTAAGAAGATATCACATTAATTTTATCACAAGCAAATGAATGCATCACAGTGGTAAAATGATCACTACAAAGTAAAATCAAAATGAAGAGATGAAAATTAGTAACTATGTCCAAAAAAAAAGCACAGCATTATTTAAAATGACTTACCCTACAGTAGACAAAAGGTATGTTTCCTCAAAATTAGGCATACAATTTTATATGCTCTGCTCGTACATCTTTTACATTTCCCAAATAAAACCCTGGACACCGAGCTTATGTATTTGTAACTCCCATCTCCCAGTCCACAGTCACAAAATTTCCATAATAATGGTAGTGTTTTAACATGTAATTCTCTAACACCCACAGTAATTGCACTGCAGTAGATATCTAGACACTGTTAGGTAGCAGATTTAGAATTTGTTTATATGAAGAGATAAAGCAGATTTTGACATACCTTTTAGGGTCATTAAAAGAAATCAAGTAGCAGCATACAAGCACAAAGGTTATTCTATATATTAAGCAGCTGGCATCAGAAGTCTCAATTAAGTATGTGAGTAACAAGCTCCAACTGGTCTAAACTAAAAATGTATTCAACCAAGGGAATTCCAGGGTTGTTTCTTCTGTTTGTGTGTGACATAACTGCAGGTATACTAGTAATGCCTGCTGAAAGTTAGGCATAAAAATAGACCCATATAACTAATGGGAAGACCGCAGCACTCTTTTTCTTCAAAAAGATTAGAAAAAACAGCATCTACCTTGCTATGTTATGTATATGTGTTCAGATTACTTAGGCCAGAAATTGTGTAAATCTGTTAAAATAAAAGTGTAAAGTACCTTATGTCTAAGAAAGCTAACATGAGCAGTTATAGCTCATTTTCTCAAATGATTGTAAAACTGGAAACATTATACATGAGGGATGTGAACATTTTGCTAGGTTAGTATTTATGGAATACAGAGTAAGTTGGTTCAAATCCATGCAATGCTTACATGGTACAAAATTTTGATGGAATAAATTATTAGAATGCATTATGGTGGTTACCATTACCAGTCAATATTTACCAACTGTTACAACACAGCAGTATCTGAGATACAGTGCTAAGACCCTAGACTTATAATAAGTTGTGACTTTAGTATCTCAGACCTTCATCCATCTCCCACAGAAGTCCCTGGGATCTTTGCTGTGGATCTTAAAAGGTTTTGAATTGTGATAATTGCTGGTAAATGTTGACTTTTTCATGACGACAGCTGCATGTATATAGTGTACTTTTCTATCTTTATCAGAAGTAGATGAGGTTACTAAAATAAAGTTGAAAAATATGTCTTAGATGTAAAATTGTTAGATAATTTACATATCCAATTAATAACTATTTATGGCCACTTTCATGTAGCAATTATGACTCTGGAAACTGGAGAATGGAGCATTATGTTGAGCCAAAGATATTAAATGCTAAATGCATGCACATTAAAGTTTCCCAGTAATTAATTAATTTGATAAATGCCTAAATCTGGGATTAGACTTCACTTGTTCTAGTTATATTAAAATTGTAAAGTAATTCCTTAACATCTATTTTTTAAAGAAAAACATATTTCACTGTAAGCTACTATAGTTATCCCTAAGCTGTATGGTGCCTTTCATGTATGAGTCTGTTTCTATCATTAAAAGAAACTCATGCTCATACTAAATCATTTAGTATCCACATTGACAGTGCATGTTGTTTTTTTAATATGAACTACCTAATTCTCAGCTACTTTATTTATGGACTTTAACTGGTGAAAAAAAATAATAATAAATGGTTCAAAAAAAGTATCAGCTCAGAAACTGACAAATATGCAGCAAAAGATCATGGAAACATGCAGTGGCTTTGCTAAAAATAACAACAGTAAATAGAAAAATGTAACTGATGTATTACCAGTTTGTGCCATAAATTTAGCAGCATCAGCTTGTTCCTGAGGGACCCTTTTCTCATGAACAGATCGAGGTCGCTGACTTTTAATTGTATGATCTCCCATCATTCCAAATTCTAAAGACAGAATAAAGGTTTATGAAAGCTGGTGTGTAGACATTTCTCAAAAGTTACATACTGTCTCATGCAATATGTTCCTAAACATACCTGGAGATTGCTGGCAAAGTTCAGACATGTGAACATGGTAGTTAACATCAATTATTTTTTTTTTGCTACACTCATCTTTTAAAATGTGTTTGCAGAACTTTAAACATGAATTGATTGTATGAAAGAATAAAAACATTCAATGTAGTGACATCCATACTAATAAATCAGCTGTATGACAAAGGACAAAAACAGTTATTCAAATGCAACATTGTTCTCTTGTAATATTTTAAATCAGTGCAAGCCATACCATAAAATTACCATCATAGTGTTAATTATTGCTGTTCTGTGAAACTACCTGGTTCCTTTTGCAGAGAACTCCTGTACAGGCACTCATCAGTCTGAGTGATTTTATCATCAGACAAGTAGCTTTCCTTGAGAATGCTGCCAATTCAAGTTCATAAATTGGCCAATAAAGTGCTTATTTTTAGACTGAATTCAACCAGAATATTATTTGTTACCTTTGTTGCTTCAGAAAACTGTCAGTTATACAGCCCAGGGCTGTATCTTGATGTTAGTTTTTAAACAGAAGTCCCCATTGAAGTCAATCTGCATAAAAATCAGTGGCATCACCTGGCTTTCAGTGTGGGAGCCAAGAGCTCTTGAGCTTTAATCCCAGTTCTGTCACTAGCTCCTTGTCTTACATTGGGCAAATTACTTCATCTCTTTACTAGGAGTCAGCACTCTCCTTTTTGATTCACGATGCAGGGCAGAGCATGCTATGTAAGTGGATTTTTGACTTCAGGATAGGTTTCCCTCTTTTTTCCCTGCTAACCCTACAAAAGAATTTCCAGGGCTTGGTTGCTATAAATTCAAGCTCTGCTAGCTTGGGAGAAGACAGAAAGCAAGAGACATGCACAAGGGATCTATGAAGTGATGCAGTAAATCTCTCCTTTCCTACAAGGAGACAACTCCACTGAAACAGATGAGCATGTCTGAAACTCCAGAAGCTGCAACATTTAGAGTTTCCTTTTTGTAGAATGGTTATTCCTAAATTTCCCTTTTGTTAAATGGTGGAGATAATCACACTTACCTACCTTTTTCAAAAGGTCTGAGTAAGGATTAGTAAGTTACTATCTTTTAAATACTGTACAAACTAAATGCTATTGCTAAAAACCTTTATTTTAGTATAAGCTTTAAACAATCTAACCAAGACTTATTAAAATAAAAAGACAGTATAAGAAAATATTAATAAACTATAAGTAAACAATTTATCAGCAAATCAACTAATTATTTACATATCTAATAATTATCAAGACAGCCTTTCAAAAGTGTCATTTCATTCTGTAAAAATTCTTTTAAATGGCTGTTTCTAATAAAATAGTAATAATTAATTTGAGAATGACAGTGCATTTGGCATTCTAAAGAGAATATTTGAAAAATCTAATTAATAAAATATTTTGTGAATTATATATGATACATTTTATATACAAGTTAGACTTATTTATTACCGTTGATTAAATTATTCAGTATATATTCAGTTTTTATGCCCCCCAATTTATGGATTTACCTTCTGACTGGGAAGCCCATCATAATCACTAGCTTTGTGATTTACATGCTCTAATCTAAATAAAAGTTAGCATTACCTTTATTAGAATGATATAGGGACCTGTAGTCTGGATGTTCATTTAAACTGAAATAACTGCCACAGTTTCAACCTAATCTACACTAGAATGTTTTCCTGATAAAAGTCAAGCTTTGTTGACAGAATTTAGATGTCAGTAAACCCATAAATCTCCAAGTGTGTGTGGGCTATGTAAAATGCCTCCCCAAGTAACCAAAGACTTCAACCATTATACAGTCATCAACATAAAGCCTGTATATGCCTAACTTTACTTCTATTGCTGTAGCAGTCCCTGACTAGAAAACCATTGTGGCTACAGGTTTGAACTCCACTATCTAAGATCAAGCTAACAGGAAGTCTTCCCTCCATTTAAACATGCCCTTTATTTTGGAAAAGCATCTCTTTCTAGTAGCCTGCATGTATGAATAGAAAAACATGGCTGGCTATGAAGAGAAATGCACACCAAACTCTGTTCCTGCCTTGGGCAAGAAAGAAGTGCTGGATATTCACATCTTCTGAGGATAGGAAGCTGTTGAAATTCAACTCCATGGGAACTGCAGGAATAGAGATGTCTATTAGGAGCCTAGTAGGTTGTCAGAGGAGGGCTGAAGGGTATGAGAGTGGGATATTAAGCAACACCAGGCCAAGACCAAGGATCTCCACCAGACCTATCATAGGATCACCCTTAATTAAGACAAACAACCAAACAAAACAAAATACCCAAAAGCTATACCATCTTTAAAGAGTGTTTTCTTCAGGTTTAACAAGGTTTTCTCCAACTCTACTGCAAAGAAAAGGAGGACAATTACTTTGGACAAGAAGGAAGGGGATGGCAATGCAGACCCAGACCACCATTTGGGCAGTGACAGCCAAAGCCAGAGCTAGTCCCAATGAACACATTGTATCAAGGGAAGGAAAGGTAGTAGATTTGTAGTTTTTCTTTCTTTCTCCTTCTCTCTAATTTCTTTCCTTCATTCCTTCTCAGTGACCCCAATCCAGTTTTGATACAGTGCTCTTTTCCATGTGCATAGACCAAAAGGAATTGTAGATTTGGAATAATGGTTTATTTCGTAGAGGTTTACCAGATAGTAAATGATAAGGGCTGAAAAATCTAAGCTCCCTACTACACATGCACTTTAATGTGCAATAGCTTATATTACTATGCATTTAAGCGTCACCGAAAAAAATATGCTAATACACTAATGCTCAGGAAAAATAGGCTACTATTCATTAAGCATCACTAAAAAAAAATGCTTTCACTACTGCGCAGTATGGCAGTTTAATGAGCATTTAGTACTTCACATTGGAGGCACTCAATTTAATGCACATTAAGAAAAGCACATTAATGAATGTATTTTTCCAGTCAGAAAATGGGGCTTGTACATAATATAAATAGATAATCCAAATAAATAGTGTATAGTTTCACTGGGATGGTACATTGTGATGTTTTGTTTTACCTGGAAAAATTATTTGCAGACATGTAAACATGGTTTTGTTCAGGTGTTTACTCATACCCTTGCTGAGGTAGACAAAAGTGGGAGGAGTACAAGGGAGGTAGAGGCCTGGTCTCCAGCTATTTTTTTCTGGTCTCCAGCTTTTTGCAGCAACTGGAGCTAATGCTGCCTGCTCAGCCTGTGCTTCCTTGCAGATAATCTTATTCACCTGCACAGAGATTTCTGTTTTATACAGCACTCAAGCAAAAACAGCCCTATTTTTCCCTTGAGTTCCCTATACAAAGCTGCTTTGTTTCTTCTACCATGATAGGACTACTTTTGCATTGCTCTGCATGCTTTTCCATCAGCACCATCACTGATGGTGAACTGTGTATTAGCAGATTAACAATGAAGCTGCCAGCATTTCTACTGCCTGCCTTGGAGCACTTGCTTTCTCCAGACCTTGGTTACTCTCCACAGTGAAGTATCAGCCAAAATCAGAACACCCTGTAATGAATGGTTTTCTTTAACTTTTACTTTTCTGGCCCTTTCAGCAATTCCCTTCCTGCACAATCCTCCCCCAAGGCCACCTTTGAAATACAGGAATGTTATTACTTGACTGAACTCACCATGACACCATTAGTTGGTGTTTCTTACAACAGGCTTCCCTTCCCTACATGCTGGCTCAGCAGTTCTGCCCATTCCAAATATATAGAAGAATACTTCATGAATTTTACAGGTACCTTTCCCTCTTTGCTATCCTTGTAAGTCAACTTCCTTGTCTTTAAGAGTGTCCCTGGTTGGAGTGTTCCTGAAAAGAACATCCTCAGCAGAAAGACTGGTATTGAGAAGGAACCAATGTACATGCTCCAGGGAGGGTATGTCCCTCCTTGGTGTAATGCATAAGCCTGGCTGAGAAACAGTAGGCAGAAAGAGTGCTCTGGGAGAAGGAATGAAAAGAGAACATCTTCAAAGAAGAGCAGATGAGGAGGCAAGTGCATAATTAAGTGGGAGGAGGACATTATGAATCTACTTAAGCAACAGGTAAAATGCTGAAGAAAGTTGTTGATGTTGTACACTACATCCTGCACCACTCCATTTTTATCCAAGGAAAACACTGAACCCACAAACAGTAGCACCACTCCAAGAATGCCACTTGATGCCTGTGGGTGAAAAAGAAAACTACAACTTTAGATATACAGGCTTTAGGCAGTGTAGTGATAAACAACTTGCATTATCTATGCCTCTTCCTTCTTGACTTTACAGACCATAATTTTGACAGTGTTAATGCAACAGACTTTCTTCCTACATTCAGCAACATCATGATGGGCTCTAGTTTATGCCCTTGGGTAATGTATGCCTCAGGGAAACACTAGCTCTGTGCATGGTAGCTTCTAACCTGGAGGTTGTATAGCCACATTTATGCTACTCAGGCTATTTAGTTCTGCCTCTCAAGAGGTTCAGCAAAGCTAATTAGGCCAGATGAAACACTGCACAAACATGGCTATATTGCCCCCAGTTGGCAGCTGGCACTTGAAGTGCTAGTTCAGGTAGTTTTGCTTACCTCTGTTTTGTGTCATATAGTCATACCCTTTGTATCTGATGTTGCGAAGTCCATAGAATCTGTCCATCTCTTCTTCTACCATGCTTCCCCTTTAGCCTTGCAACTGCTAGTCTGGACACAGCAGGCAGAAATAATGATGGGGATGCTTGGCTCTTAATTCCAGCTTCACTGTGAGATATTCAGCACTCTCCTTCATATCCCCCAAAGCAGACCAAACTGTCAGGTTATATTTGGTTAGTCAGAAATTAAACCCATCTTTGCTGCTGTCCAGGTTAATGTTATATACTCTCAAAAGCTAGAGAAAAGGCTGGGTAGCCAGAGACTAGTAGGTAGGTTGGGTCTCCCAGAATGG